TTTTTTGTGAGTTCTCTATGATGTAACCTACACGCCTATAAATTTTGAAGTCATTCTGCTAATCCCAAAAAACATTAAAAACCGCGAAAGATGGGGGTGTCAAAACGTGCTCGACCACTCACTATTTTGTTTTTTTTCACTTTTAACTTTTTGCTTTCACTTTATTTCGGGGCCTAAATAATTTTATTATTTTTTGAAATTTTTTTAATGAGTTATTTATTATGTAAACTAAATATCTGTAAATTTGCAGGACATTTGTTAATGCCAAAAAATAATTAAAAATCGACAAAGATGGCGGTGTCGAAAAGGTGCTGCCACACTCACTCATTTTAATTTTTTTTTTTTNACCTGTCATCCACGTGGCTGGCCTTGTACGTAAGAGGTTATGAACAGGTGGAGCTTTCCTTACCTCCTTCCCCTTCCCCTTTTTTCCTTTTCCTTTTTTCTTTTTTCTTTTTTGCGCTCTGATTCACAATGTGACAATATATATATCAGTGAGGGGATTCTGCAGACTGTTGAGGGTTCAGCCTCCTGATGAGTCGGTGAAACTCCGACGAAACAGTTTGTCACAGCCCCTCGTTTGTTGTCTTCTTCTCTCTCTCTGCCTACGGTTTACCGGGCAGTTCTGTTTGTGACGATATATATATAATTGTAACCAATGTATTGTTCCACCTTCTGTGGCCGGATGCACTCGGTTTTTTATTGTTTCGTGTGCCGTGCGGCGAGGCCCAGTGCCAACAGAGGGCCTCACTTCATAACTCTTCAAACGTACAAAATGAGACTGAATCCTGCGCTGGACCATGGAAAGATGCACCGCCATATTTTTTTGTCTTTTATGCATGTCGGGAGTAGTGGAGCGAGGCCCAGAGAGAGTGCACTTCGGGGGGGCAGCCCACACTCTTCTTAGCACAAGAAAAAGCCAATAGGCAAGTTTGCGACGTGACGGTATTTACCTTCCTGGGCAGCGCAGAGCACAACAGGCGTGGCCAAGTGTGCTCTCTGTCTCGCTCGCGCGTTATGGAGTGCAACCTCGCTCCCTCTCTCAGTGGCAGGGTGGTCAGGAGGTCCGTTCACGCTCGGCAAAAAACGAAATCGCCGGGTTCCGGGGATATATGGGCCGCACGTGAACGGCTCGGCGAAGTGCACTCTATCGCACACACAGATGCATGTATATGTACATGTGTGCCGCTTCGGTGGCAGATGGGTGTGTGGGTACTTGGCGCTGAACCGCACAAACGTGGCCAACCTTGCATTTTTTATTATATTAGCTATCTATACCTTTTTGTTATGGATGGATTTTGTCTGATTTGTGGAGGCAATGAGAGAGAGAATTTGGGGTACTTTAACAACACACACAAACACACACACACCCACACACACACACACACACACACACACACACACACGCACACACACACACACACACACCTGTCTCTTATACACATCTTTTTTATGGAAAGATTACGGCCTAATCTACAAGATATCAAATTTTCAGATTGGTTTGCAATTTTTATTAACGCAAAAAATCCCCAAAGTTCGCGCTTGAGAATCTTTGGACTGGACCCGCCTGCTCCTGCCAGTTGCCGCCCCCCCTAAGAACCCGGTCCGTAAGGCAAGGAAAATTTATTTTAGGTTGGCGGGGGTAGTGGTGGTTTAACGGTAGGTTGGGTATGCGAACAACTTTCACAGAGCATATTTTGGCATACAAGATGATGGGTACCGAAACATGATGCAAATGAAAATTCCCTAAAATGAAAATATTTTGTTCTTAACAAGGATTTTTGCCAATGCCAATTTCAACCGACCGTGCTCGACATGTGATTTTCTTGGCGACACCATCCTTTTTGGTTTAGTAACCGGAGCGTCGAACGTTGCATCCGAATAATATAGTGGGGGAAATATTGGTGGTTTTATGACAAAGAAGTCTATAGAACTTGCAAAGTGTGTTTATACACAACCCATCTCTCGCATAGCATGCGGTCAACTAAAATAAAATAAAAAATTTGGACCATTTCCTTATGCAGGGCCATGCTAATCTTCTCAGTACCGTTTAAATTATGAATCACCATTACATTTTATAACCATATTTTAGAAGTTGTGGCTTGCATGTTGCTGTTACTTATGGAGCTTGACCATCGGAGCAAAATTTATGGTAGCGCTAGCCAAAAGCAAGCCCGTGTTAGTTCGTTTTTTTTATCAACAACTTTTTCAGTCTCAAAGAAAAGTGCCTTGGATGTTCCCGAAAAACGGACCAGACAAATTTTGAGATACAACGGAAGATAGGGGGATAATTGGTGAAAACCATCTATGCAAAAACCTTTTTGTTTTTTTGCCTAAAAAAAATGCCTACTGAAAAATGAATATGGCAGAAATACAACTCAATGTGCATGATCTGGTAGGAAGGGGCCAAGCAGTGGAGACCCAATCTCGACTGCTATAATTTTGCATCCGATGACATGTATTGCCCATGGGCCCTTCTTGCCAAATGGAAAAACTTCGGGCACTGAGAACCAAAAAGGTTTCCGTTGGTCTCTATCTAGCAATTATAGTGCCCGTCGCTCGAAATACATGCGTTTCACCAAAGATACGCACAAAGTTTTTTGCACACGCACGACCAGTGCCTCACATGGCAAGGAACGAGATCCGAAGTCCATGGTGTTTATGGCATGAGCCCAACGCCGAGGCTTGTAACTCACCTCCATGCGCGTTATGTCCGGAGGTCCAAGCCTCCAAACCACTAGTACACCTGGGCGTGGAGGCGTTGCAGTGCACGCCAAGCTTTTCCAAGTTGGCAGCGGCGCACTTGTTTTTCTTTTTTGGCTGGTGCCGCCGGTGATTGTGGTCGCGGCGGGAGGCTCTGCAGTTCCACCGGTGATTGTGGTCACGCCGGGAGGCTCTGCAGCACACCCGGGCCTGAACCCTGAATTTTTTTTTTTTTTTTTTTTTTTTTTTTTTTTTTTTAATTTGGACCATTTCTCGATTTATGTGTGTCATTCTTGCGCAGGGGCCTCTGGACCCACTAGCGAAGTATTCTACAATGGGCCTCGCTGCACTACTCTCGACATCCACAAAAGACAAAAATCATAATCGTGTATCTTTCCATATTCTAGCGGAAGATTCATTCTCGTTTTGCACATTTCGAGAGTAGTGCATCGAGGATAATGTGTGACGCAATTTTATGTTTTTTTGGAAAATACAAAGTGATTTTTTATTTGTATGAATGAATCGCTTTTTGATTTAAAATGAATCGAAATAGCACATAAAACTATGAAGAACAGTTGTGCACCCGAATTCATGGGTTGGTACGATCTCCTTCACAAGTCTTCATACTGATGTACCGTAGCAATAAAATGTGTCCACGAACACAACCACGAGGATGAACAAGTAATGGCTATAGGGATACATTCATCCCCATGTATCTCATGATGCCTCTAACAAGCCATCCGACAGACGCGGAAGCGTTCCTGTCAGATCCACCACGATATCGGAATTTCACATTTCACGTTCTATTTCTCAGAGCCAAAAAAAAACAACAACGAAGTCTGGAAATCAACCCCCCCTCTTTATAGCCCATAAAATCCAGACTTCCCGCCCACGCAAAGCCATGAGCTCTCATGTCCAAGTTAGTCCAACTTTGTTTTTTTTCTTTTTTCGACGCAGCTCATTGGACGGGAGGTGGGCTTCTTTACAGTCCCGCTCGGAAACTACCAGGCCGTCCAGATCCGATCTATTCGACGGTCGTACTGTGTCACTCGAGGCCACACGTGATCGAAAACCTGAACGAAGTGGTAGATTACGTGGCTAATGGGTCCAGGCCGAGGGGCCATGCTAATCTTCTCTGTATCCTTCCATTGTTTTTTTTTTTTTTTTTTTTT